ACGATTCTTCATCGGTGTTATATTGGTGCATTTCTGGAATTTTCTGCTTTCTGGACACTGTGATACTATCTGGCCTTCAATGTGATTGTGCATTCTGGACATTGTCAAATTTGTCATCTCGCTATTGCTCATTTTCCTTGCACTGGAGCCTGTTAGAGGGGTTGATATGAGCAACCTGCCCCAGGTCCGGGCACCATTCTATTCATGTTAAGACAGTTACGGCCCTGATTCAAAAAGGAAGACAAAAGGGATAAGCTTGTCGCCATGACTTCAGCATCTGGGCCACATGTTTGGTTTTCTTGTTCCTCTTCGCTATTTTTTTTTTTTCAAAGGGGTTAGGCGCCCCTGACATTATTGTATCCATCTGCGTCATCCAAATTCAGATGTGAACTCATGTTCTGTTTGTTAAGAGTCACATAAGAGTCACATATGTGTAGTACATTCTGTACCATTCAGCCATTCATGGGCTGGGTTCATCTTTGGTTCTCTCTTCATAGTGATGGAAACTTTTTTGTTTTCAGAAATGCAGAGTGGTCGAACTCTTTCTACATTTCAGATTTCTCTCTTTTCTCTTTTCACTTTTCTCTTTTCTCTCTTCTCTTTTCTCTTTTCAGATTTCAATGGCACAATTCTCACTTTCGACTCCCGATATAGCTGGATGCACACTCTCATCTTACGATTAGAGGGGACACCTTTGGCCGTGTTTTGTTAGAGCCCGGCCGGATCTATCTAATCCTGTTTGCTCCCCATGCTTTCGCACCTCAGCGTCAGTAGAGACCCACTCGTTCCGAGAGGTGAGGTTATGACACGTTTTTCTTCCTGTTATGCCCCCCTTGTTGTTCTGTTTTGTTTGCTCAGGTCCTGGGGACGGCCTTTGCTTTATTGCTGACCAACCTCGGCAGACGGCAGTCTGGAGAATTGAGGTTTGTGAAGTTGTTGCCGTTTCTTCTCAGCTCCCTGTTCTTTTTTGGACTGTGTCTTTGTGTATGTGTGTGTTCAAACTTCAATGTGTTGTCATGTTCGCTATACAAAACTCTGCGGAAAAAAAAAAGTGTGGCTGTGCCAAACTGTTCCGTCAGACCTTCACGGACTGTGTGTGTGTGTGTGTGTGTGTGTGTGTGTGTGTGTGTGTGTGTGTGCGCGCGCTTGGTTGTGCGTACAGCTGCTTTCTGTTGTTTGTTACTTTGTCTTGTTTGTTTGTTTGTTTGTTTGTTTATGCGGTATGTGTGTACGTGTGTGTGTGCATGTGCGTGTATGTACGGCTGCTTTCGCTTCTTTGTTTGTTTTGTTTGTTTTTGTTTGTTTTTGCTTGTTTTTGTTTGTTTGTTTTGTTTGTTTGTTTGTTTGTTTTGTTTGTTTGTTTGTTTGTTTTTGTTTTGTTTGTTTTTGTTTTGTTTGTTTTTGTTTTGTTTG